GGCCTATATTAGAGAATTTACGGTATATTATTTTTGTACGACCAAGTTTGTTTCATCTTTACTCGGGTTGTAACAGATGGATGGATGGATGGATGGATGGATAGATGGATAGATAAATAGATAGATAGATAGATAGATAGATAGATAGATAGATAGATAGATAGATAGATAGATAGATAGATAGATAGATAGATGGATAGATGGATAGATAGATAGATGTTGCAGTATTTATAACAACCCAAACACACAGGATTTCAGAATTAAACATCCCCAGTTATTAATTTCATACACTCACCAGATCTGAACGCCCTGTTAACAAACTTCAAACCCATGAATAGAGGTAATGCAGCCTGATGATATTTACACTGCATCAGATACTGTTCCCCTCTTGTTAAGAAGAGTTAAGCGTTCCCCCTGCTTAACATGGGGGAACGGTATCTGACGGGGTTTAGAAGCCCATAACTAGTTACTTTTATTGTGGAGTAACTCAGTTAGTAACTCAGTTACTTTTTGGGAGAAGTAACTAGTAACTGTAAATAATTACTTTTTCAAAGTAACGTGCCCAACACTGCTGGTTGCTGAAAATCTGAAAAATACTCATTGTATCCTTCTTGCTGATTTTAATATTGATGTCTCAAAGGATATCAATAGTAAGCCCTATGCCAAGCTGTAGCAGAGTCTAAATGTAGAGGTGAAGATTTATGTACATAATTAAGAAACATCACAGAAAATGCTCTGATGGAATCTCATTCTTTCTCAAGTTCGTAACACTGAAGGGTTTTGGTTGAGTCCTGAAACTGGTTAACTGACCTGGGTGGTGCACAGAGGGGAAAATGTGTGAACTACAACAAGGTCATTTTATTAAATTGTCTTGAAAATGATCAGTTTTGTTCATTTCTGCTGTATTCACCCATCCTGGAGTGTGTATGTCGCTCCTCTCTATCTCAGTGGGGACTTGTGTCATTCTGCACCAGCTAACAGTGGACCCCTGTTGTTCTGCACAAACCAAGTGGGGACCTTTATGCTGTAATGCAAATCAAGGTACCCTCTTTGTCTGCTAAGAACGACATGGCAGCACCACTTTGAATAGTTAAAAACAGAAGAGCAACTTACCGCATTAAGAGATAAAAATTTATATGAAAAATATATATTTGTTGCTGATACTGCAGATCCTGTTATTAATTTATTCCCAAATTAAATGCTATTCAAAATATTATTAATTATCAAATGTGGCCAAATTTCACTTTTTGGGTAATATTTGTATTGAAAGCAATTCACTCAAGGTAAACCATCAATTTCTTAAAAGAGTTAAAGTAATTCCTTGTAGTAAGCAAATACTCTTTAGGTTAAAAAAAAAAACCCTAACCCTTTAAAAATGATTAAAAGTCAAATCTTCAGTCATATTATGGTAATTGAGCTTTAAAGTACATTTTATTTGGGTTTTTGCTTTTTCAATAAACTAGAAACAAAAGTCCCCTCTTGACAGGAAAGGCTGATAGTCCCCTGTTTGTAAGGTGGACGTAAATGTGTGTGCTTATGTGTGTCTACGTGCACATGCATAATTAGGTGTCTGATTATTCAGATGCTATCGTGTCACTTATGGAGGGTCTAAATGTGGGTTTTTGTTTCAGTATTATGTAATATAACAACCACACTATTTTATGATGTAATAACACACTATTATTGTATAGACTGTCTAGAAACTGGATTTCGATCAATGAGGAAATGTTTGAAAATGATTAACATTTTTACACTTGTACATATTTGATGTAGGATTTTTGTCTACCTGTATCAACCTGTATTATTGTATATTTTAATTGATTTGTTCTTAACACCTATATAAACGTGTTCATTGGTTGTGTACTTGCATAGTAAACCCTTGCGCACATGCAGGAGTAAGCAGTTCAAAAGTCAAAACTGTAGGCGGGTTAAAATAAACTTTTTTTTTTTTTACTTTTTTTTTTTAGATATGGATCAAATGGAAAATATGCTGATGATTTATAGGATTCCCATGAACCAACTTGCTACAGATAAACATGTGGCTAAATAAGAAATCTGAAGTATTTTATAGAAAAAAAAAATTCTATTATTATATTATGTTCAGAACATACTGTATATCTTATAAGAGATGTTTTCAGTTTCATGTTTATCCATGGTTTTCTTTGTTTTCTAGCTTTATTGGTGTGTTGTGTTCAAGAAGATATGGCCATAAGCCAAAAATTAAATAAATCCAGAACACACAAATAAAGCTAGAAAACAAAGCAAAACTGAAAACCTTAGAGAAAACCAACAGAACCAAGATCGTTACAATATAACCTCTAAAGTCCTTAGTTTGTCACTGAGAATTTGTTTCAGCGAGGCTTTAAGAGAAATCAATTATTTTATTTCATCTTGACAGACTTTAAGTTTTTCCAAAACTCTCTTTCAGATCATCTCTATTGGTTTTCTTTTAGTATTTTTTTACCCTTCAAAAGGTTGAATGATCTTACTGTACAGCGTTTATCATTACTCTAGACTATACAAATACTGTTTGAACTCCTGTTTGTTTCTTCTTCAATTTCAAATGTCTCCCCTACCAGTTACCCATCCTACTGACTCCTTTCTCTTTGTTATGTCTGTTCTTGTCTAACTTGCTCTGTGCTTCCTTTTATCTCCCCAGGTGACATCTAGTCGTGCAGCCCAGCAACAACAATCGCAAACTGGGGCAGGATCAGGTAGGCATTCATGTCTTTTTTTTCACCCTTATTAGTTTTCCTTCTTTGAAATAGCTGTTTCTCATGATGCATTCATAACATTCATTAGCTTTTCACTACTGATACTTAGGGAGGAGATTTTCCCTCTTCTTAGTTTTTGTTATAAATAAAGGCTCTCTTTCCCCTTTTTTTTTGGTTTTAGCTGCTGAGTTATTCCTTTTGTTTTGTTAACTGCTTTTGATCTTCATACTTCTTACATTTTATGAACAGCACTTTGGTCAGCGGTTATGTCGATTTTTCCAAGGGCTTTAGAAATAAAGTGGTATGGTGCTGTAACTGCTTTTTATCTTTTGTCTGACTTTTATCTGCTATTTATGCCAGTGGAAAGTGGCTCTCTGCTTTAAAGTACAAGCATCAGCCCCATCATCATCTCACCTGTTTCCTCTGTGTCTCTGTTTTCTATAAAAATAAATTCCCCTTATTATTCTTTAGGGATCTACTACTCAAGCTCTACTTTACCTGCACAGCGAGTCAGTTCCCCCCTGTCCGGTGGAGGAAGTTCAGGGTCAGGTTCTCCCAGTAAACACCAACGGTTGGGCTCTGCCACTGACACACCAGGCTACTCCACTACCCAGCGCCTGCCTCCCTCCTCCCCCTCATCTTCTCCCAGCAAACAGTCTACAGCTAATAGACTGGCCAAATCATACAGGTACGTAGCCCACCACATACACTGGGTGTCGGTATGAATACTAAAGAGAAAAGTAGCTGACACATTTGAATAATCCAAGTAAATTCAGTTTTTGCAGTTTAAATTTTTTGGTTGTTGTCCAGTACTACAGTTGCAGTTACAACAGCAGGAGGTGGGTCACCACTGAGGGTGGCATCTCCGCCTAACTCTACAGCAACTGGAGGAGGAAACAGTTCATCATCGTCTCCTCTTCATCAGGTACTGCATTTTATCCCCTTATGGAGTCAAATGCATCCCTATGGGTTTGGGGTAACTCTTCTGAAAGGTGGCAGAAGGATTTTGAAGGCCAATCTACAGATTTATTAACATTTATGGTGGATTAAAGGATTAACGATTTAAATATTTAGCTAATATGGTCATTTTCTTTACCTTGCCATTATTTAAGGAGCAAATCAATGTGGGAAACTGAGACAAGTGATGTCTTCATGCAGAAAGGTTGCTGAGGTATTAAAATATTATCTATATGCACTTTAATGTTCAGATTTTGTGGATAAAAAAACCCCCCAAAAAATACCAAACAAACATATTTTTTTTACAAGAATGAGCACATTGATTGGTAATAAAGCATATGACACAATAAAATATGAAGCACTGATTCAACGCCTACAGCTGTTGAGCCATCACAGGCTTTACTTTATCTGCTAATTATTATAATTATGCTCCAGTAGTGTTTAAATTATGAACAAAATTCTTAAAGAAAATGTAACTTTTTAAAAGATTTATGTAAAGTTGCCATTTTAATTTTTTATTAAAATATTAAGCCAAATTATAAAAACTTATGTTCTTTTTTTTTTCTTTTTCTTTTTTTTTGAGGGGGTGGGGTGGTGTGGGTTCAGGATTGACCACTACTGGAGAGGACCTATTTATTTTTACTCTGTAGCATATTTTAGCTTATTTAGCTTATTTCTTCTTCTTCACAGAGAACTGAGGCCCACATTAATGTCTTGGACTTTGGTTACATTTATTACATTATTAAAAGCATCTCATTTACATTTGGAAACCAACCTTAACAAACTTATCTGAAAGCAATGAAATGAGATGGAACAGATGTTATTAATAATACTCAGCTGTTGCTGAGTAATTACTCAGCCAGAAGCTAGACATAAGCATCATGCTGTTCTTCCTAATAGCATTGCATAACAAAATAGTACAAAGCAGGTAAAACTGTCTTGTCTTTGCAGATGAGTTCTGGCATAGGAAGCTATGCCACTCTGTCTCCTAAGCGGCTGGCAGCTCATCACGCTTCTGACCAATACAAGATCTCACACGAGCTCTACGCTACTGCTACCCTACAAAGACCTGGCAGTTTGGCAGGTGAGAGATCTCTTATTTATTCAGCTGAAAAAAATCTCTTTTGAGTCGTTAATGTTTACAAGACTGTTCGCTTTGGGCACACCTCTGAATTATGCTCATCCATCCTTCTTCTACTTTTTTATCAGGTTTAGAGAGGGCTGGTTTCTATCCCCAGCCGTGTATGGGCAAACGTCAGAATATATCCTGGTCATTGCAGAGACATACAACCAAGCACAAATATATTCACACCTTAGGACAATTTAGAGACACCAATTAACCTTCAGTGGTGTTTTTTGGACTCTGAGATGACGCCAGAGTACCCAGAGAGAATCCATGCATGCTCAGAGTGTCATGATTGGTTTAATGAACAAAAACCCACATGCAGAACACTAACGGAGACAGAGGAAAGTTTAACAAT